ACAGTAGATGGCTTGTACCAGGATGGTGGCTGTAGAAACCATAAGAAAGTGAGCATATCCTAGTGTATTTTGAAGGTCAAGCCACTAGAATTTTGCTGACACATTGCATGGATAAAAGGGAAAAGTCCAGGGTGCCTGAAAAGTATTTGGCTTGAACTCCTGAAAGGGTTGATTTGCTGCTGGCTAAGACAAGAAAGACACAGAAGAGGAGATGCAATGGGAAGGGTCAGAGGCTTGTGTTAGGATGTATGAAGGGTAAGATGCTGTTGGACATTAGGAGAGACTGATAAGGCAGTTGGACAAGTTCAGAAAGTTTGGGACATGTCGTGAATAGGGTAAAAATAATTCCCCTCAGAGGAAGGTATCTCTGCCTCCCTGGTGATCATCACTGGGTTTAGAGAGGTGACTTTGGAGTTGACAGTGAATCCTTTTGACATCTCTATGCCATCCCTTTCTTGTTCTTTGGATAACCCAGCAGATTGCCTTCAGAAGTAGAGCCATTCCAAGACGGTCAGCTTCTAGTTCTGAGGGCTGAGCATCCAGTCATATGACCATCTCTCCCTTCTCCTCAGCCTCCTTGCTTAGTAGGTGTCCCCTGGATGATGGATGCCTGAGAGATACCTGTGAAAAACATGTTTGTTTCCAGTAAGTCCCTCCTGAGAATCATGTCCCTCTGGTCTTAGACGCTTTAAACCAAGGCATTTCAGGAAAGCAAGTTGAGCAGTGTCCTTATGTAACACAGAACTCAGTCTGAAGATGTAGTCACATTCCCAGATGCTCTAACATTGAGGGTAAGCCTCACTCTCTGCCAGGTTCCAGGGATGGAGCTGGGATGGGAGACTCATCAACCCACAGATGAAGGACAGAGCATCTCCTTCAGAGAAACACTGTCTGCATCAGGACCCTTTGGAGAGCCCTAGTGGTGACATACCACCTACCCCATAAGGACATGGGAGAGTTAACCAGACTAACCTCCTGGCTTGAGAAAGCCATGCGCCATTCTCAGCTAGTCATCTGGATGAGTTTTGAGGCATATCAAGAAAGAATCCAAGCCTGTAACTTCTCTGAGAGTTAGAACCACTGAATTGGTATTTTATGAGAAATACTCGCATCCAAAAAGCCCTGGTTTTCCAAACAGGAACAAAGTCTGCCTCAAACATTTGGCCCTTGGAGACACTCTGTATCTCCAGTCTGTAAACCCTGATCTAAAACAGCCTGGGCTGCTCCCACTTTCCTCTAGAAAGATGAAAAATAATCAGTTTTGGGAGCGGGTTGTGGAGCCAAAAACAAGCTACAGAATCACCCCCACCCTACCCCAGCTCCAACAAGATCCACACGTGAGATTCAGTCCCACTAAATGTCATTTCTTCTCTGACTACTGGGCTTATCAGGTCTATGCATTATGTCCCCCTGGTCTATATACTTTAAGCTGGCTTATCAAGAGGATGCCTGGGAACCTTACACTCTAGTGAACAATTTGAACTCTAGCCTCCCAATAGCTTTTGTCTGTCTGTTTGTTTTTTATGAATCTTTAATCTTTTCCTCTGTTTTCTAGGTGTTTGGGGACTTGTGTGTGTTATATTTCAGGAGTTGTTAAGTTAAACTTTGGTCTAGTAAAGAAACATTTGCTCATGCTTTTGAAACGAGAGCAGCATAGGAAGGCTTGGTGGGTCGTCAACTGACTGGGAATGGAGAAGGTGGGGATATATACTAGTTCCTGGGCACAGAGCAGCGTTCTCTGGGGCCTCTACCCCCCCTTACCTGCAAGGTGTGAGGAACAAATCCAAACACCCTCAGGTAAGGCCTCCTGAGGTGTGTTGAGCTGCCTACCTCACACCGACCACACACAGAGAGCTTTCCTCTCTAATCTGCCATGGACCAAGTGTCTTTCTAGTTTCAGTGCTTCATGTTCTAGACTCAGTGGTGGGAGGTCCCTGAACAAAGGTCTCCCCAAACCTTCCTAAACTTTGGACCTATATTCCCATCCTCTACCTTCCTTCCCCAGATGATGAAATTTTGCCCATCTTTCAGATTGGCCAAGAGAAATTCTAATAATAGAAATAGAGTGGGGGAAAGATAGCCATTCATGGGAGGAAGCTCCATTCTATCAACACAGCTTCTGTTCACAGAAAAACCAGAGGAAGCTGAGAGAGAGGCTGGAGACCATGTTGAAGCCATTCCTTGTACCACATTGACTTCAATAATCAAGAAAACAATGATAGAAAATGTCATTCACTGAGGAAGTATTCATTAAATGCTCAGCAGGTGACTGGAGCTACAAAAACAGACAAAAGTCCATGGAGCTTTTGTTTTCATGGGACAGACAGAAAAGCAATAAGCAAGGACAACCCATGTCAGATGGTGACAAATGGAAACATACAGTAATGAAGTGAAGGAGGAGACAGAAAATTGTTAGTGGAACTGAAGTCAGAGCTGGAAGGAAGGGAGACTCCCAAGTCTAGGTTGCCCTGTGTTAGCATTGATGGTTACAGAGCCTGGAGTGAAAACAGTGTTCTTTATAGTGGTGTGGGTCCTCATTCCAGGGCTACCTGTCTTTCTTAGAGTTAAGGAAATATTCATAGTAATAGTAATTGTTCCAGCAGAGACACTGGTTTAAAGCTGCATGCCATTCAGACATGGGGGCTGGGAATAGTCAATGTGTAAATAAGATTTGAACATGAATTATCCCCTAAGAAAATCAAAATCATATTGGCATTTAATTGCCACGGTAAGAAATTGAGAAGGAAGAAACTTAGTCCAACTATGATGTTAAGAAATGAGACTTTTAAAAAGTGATTATAATGAAATAAAATGAGGATGGAGACCCTATGATTGACCACTGGTGGCTTAATAAAAAAGGACTCTCTCTCTCTCTCTCTCTCTCTCTCTCTCTCTCTCTCTCTCTCTCTCTCTCTC